ATTCTCACCTAAGCTTCTGCCCGAGTTTGGATTTTGTGGCCGAGGTGGGAACCTGAGCACGGAAGATGGCCCAAAAACACGAGGGATGGGAGGGGGCTGCACCATCCCCAAAGCTGTACTAGGGGGGTTCTGACAGACCTCACCTGGGCCTGAAACTGTCGCGTCAAATCGTGTCTCTTACACATCGGAATCATAGACAAAGCGTCCACCATGGACCGGTGGTTTTGGAGTTCCTCGCATGGTGTGTGTGTGTGTGGCCTCAAGTCTCTTGGCTGAAGTTGGGCAGAGCCAAAGACATGGGGCTATCGATCCCTGAGCTCCGATTAGGCGTTTTCGACATGGCGTCTGACGAGGCCCTACCCACCAGTCTCTCGATGTTGGCCAATCTAGGTCAAAGATAGGAGTGCAGAATGAACCGTGCATCAGAAAAAACAAGGAAGAAAAACGACATGTTCTGTGCCTCTCTCTCTCTCTCACACCCACACCCACACGCAAACTCGTCACACTTAGTTCCACTCTGCCAGGCTTCTCCCGCTGATGAAGATCCAACGTTGCCAGAAAACTGGAAGCCTGAGGCCCATGGCCTGCCAACTCTTGTCCAACGCACAAGGACAGACAGTCTTCCACAGCCCTGCCCACTTCCACGATTCTTGTTACCTGAATAATTTACATAGATACATTATTCTCCCATGATCGTGAAGCAATTTGAAGAAGAGTACCCCGCAACCCCGTTCCAAAATGTTAGGCCTTGAGAGAATGTCTCAAAATACGGGTGCCCTCCAAATGACCGCTTGCCTTCTGTCCGATCAAAACGCTCCAACACATTCCAAAACGGCCTCCCCTGAGCTCCCGGCCACGTTGGTGATCATCTCATTGTGCTGCCTTCCAAATTGGCCGTAGTGACCGAAAGAAAAAGAGGCTGACATGTCGTTTGTGGTGGCCCAATGGGACTCCGCCAAAATGCAAACCTGACCAAAGCCCTGAGGTTCCTGGTCTTGTGGCTTGCAGGGAACAAACGGGAAAACCGACGCCATTTTAGCGAGTCCCCGAAAAAAGAAACACACCCGGTGGCCATTCCAATGAAAATCATACGCTCGGGTCAAGGTTGACGCTGCCTCAACGCCATGATGTGCTCGCCCCGCCGCAAGCGTCGATACCGCTTCACGCGCACCTGCGTGAGGCGCGGAACAATTTTCGGCCTTGCAACTGAAAGTCGGGAAACTTGCAAGCAGCCTGATAGTGTGTCTGCTCTGTGATGCCAAGCGTTGCTCAACTTTCATGAAAATGGCCCACAGTGCCTCGCTTGACCATCGGCTGTTCAGGTTTGCCTTTAAACACCACCCCAACAAGGTACCCTAGCACACACACACACACCAGTCTTGACGTCCGTTAGTTGTTAAATCCAGTGTACTCGATGAAGCCCACCCTGAAAGCAGGGGCAGCTGCATTTATAAGCTTTTTCAAGTACAATGAGATTGCCCGCTAAGGGTTTGATGAACCCCCCCCCAGAGACCCAGAGACGGGGTGTTGACCAAGCGGCCCAAAACCCGCTGCAGATGTTAGGCGCCATTCCTTGAGGCGAACCCAAGGGCTTCGCAACTCTGTGAGAGGTGCTGTCACGCAACCGACGTACCCACGAATTTTGACCCAGGGTGGCCCAGCCAGCACAATTATGGAGGCCAATGAAAAACGGCTCGATGTATGTCGTCGCGTTGTCTGTCGCGATTTTGCAAACGCAACTGCTGCAACCACCAAGAAATGTCTTGAAAACAACTGGAAGTTATGGACCAGAAAAGAGCCGCAGGCTCAGTCCGACATCTTGATCTAATGTGTTCAGCACGTTTGGCTAACCGCCGCGTTTCCCCATTCTCCAAGACTTGGCAGTGGCTTGAGTTGAAGTGTCCTGGCTGCTGCCAATGCAACCATGCAAGGCTGAAAGGTAAACCTCGGGCGTTTCACTGCGTTCAATGGAACATACATTGTTTGAAAAGCGGTCCCACAAAGCCTTTCTTCGTTCGTTGGGGTTGCACTCCCAGCCTGCGCGCTTCCGGAAAACTGCAGGTTCGCCTTTTACACTGCGTGCGGTGTGGATGGAACCGAGTCGTGTCCTCGAAGACAGCCCGTGGCATGTCTCAGAGCAAGCTGCGGGATCATGGCCCTCGGGACGGCCTGCCGAAAGGCACGTTTTCGGGGTCCAGCGCCAAACAACCCGGATCTCCCCCAAGAAAAATAGCAGAACCTTTGGACCCATGCCAAAAACCATCTGCTTGGCTGGGCGGGGGCGGAGGGGGCAGAGAGTATAGACCCGTTTCATGCGCGGAACATACAGGCTCACTAGCTTCACAGCACGCGCAGGGTTGTGGCCACGAAAACGCACGTGTTGTTGCACGAAGGCAGGTGATGCAAATTCACAAGACAGGCATTGTTCCATTTGTTTGACAGCTGTTTCTATTCCGTGCGTCGCGGACACTGGAACCCAAGGCTAGCAAGAGAACGCAACACAGTTCTCCTGTGGCAAGGCCGCATCAACCCAACGGGTGTAGCTCGAAATTAACAGCTGGCGTTACACAGGCATTATCTGTTTCCATACACACAGATGCCATTGGGGGTACCATTTCCCGAGCCAAAACCCCAACGTGTTCCTGCGTTCCTGTTGCGCAAACTGCATTTCGAAGCGGGCGTGGGCTGTCTGTTTGGTGCTTTTTTGAACTAGCAAGTGGTTGATTGCGGGAAGCCTTGCAAATCCAAGTCTTGGGGCTCCAAGAGGGCATGGTTGCAAAGCTAAAGCTTAAAGGTAGTGAGTCCTGACACTTCAGAGCGGCCAGCAGCTTGATTTGGCTCGCGCATTACCCGGCCCAAACATCACGGGCAGGATGATAAATACGTAGATTGTTTCTTGCTTTGGGCATGGCCGGTCTTCGTTCATTAAACTGTCTGGCTATTTGCGGTGAACAATAGCACGATCTTAACATGCTAAATTGCGCTGGCGGCTTCTTGGATTCTCTGATTTGAGGGGAGTGTATCGTGTTCTCGCAAATCGTGACAGCATGCGACAGCCACTGGACTACGGTCTGAACAGTGGTGGCTGGATTCGTTTGTGTTCGCTGGACCTCGACAATCCTAGCAAGGATGGGCTTGTAGGCAGTGCTATGCCTGAAATGGTGACTTGCCGACAGAGCGACTCGGAAGTCGGGTACTCGGGTCGAAGCCCGTTTAAAGCCAAACAAATCGAAGGACGTTTTTCGTGTTCCGTGCCACTCGACAGGTTGGGACACTCAGTTGTTCAGTGACCCTGGGAAAAAAGGGAACCCTTTTTGGGGAGGACCATTTTTGGTGGGGCAGCCACCAAAAACAAGGGGACAATAATTGGTGCCACTGAACTGAGGACAGATCTGACAAGATGAAGCTCCGCCGCGGGCCTGGAGTCCAACCCGCCAGGCTACTCGGCTCCGGGCTGTCGAAAGGCCTGGCCAGAGTCAGCCAGCGAACCCGAATGCATGCCCGTCGCTGGGAAATCCAACTGCCAGTCCCCGAGCCCCCAACTCAACTGGCCTGGGGGGGGAAAAGGGGAAAAGGGGCAGTACTTGCCTTCACAAAAACGTCTTTGGTGATTCCAAGGGCACCTCTTCGGCCCAAGCGGTGACCTGCGTCGCATTCTCTACCGAACAGGTCAGCGCATGTCCCAAGCCACGGAGCCACCAGTTAGCTACTCGTCGCTCAGAACAAATTTGGGTGTGTCTTTTTTTGGGGACCCCCCAAAATGAGTGGTTTCCTTGTGTTTTCCCTTTAAACCAACCCCAAAAAGGGTACCCTCAATATGGGTATGAGTCGTAAAATTAAACCAGCAGGATATGGACCGCAGGTTAAATCGTCCTTCCATTTACCAGGGAAGCCATTTTGGGCACCCATTTTTGACCCACAGCCATATGAGAACCGGTCTGCATGTCAAGAATCCATCTAAACCAAGCGGGTGAGCTTCCGAGTGGCCACCACCCCCCGCCATGGTGGATGAAGAAAGCATCATGATCAGACTGCAATTGTGCCTCATAAAACCCTAATGGGATCCGGCTTGAGCATCCGCTGACTGTGTCACATATCCCCAACTCATACATAAAATATGACTCTCCAGAAAGGGAACCGGTACACTTCCGGCCTGGAAGCTTTCGGGCTTGGACCAATCAAGCCATGCGGGAAAACGAAAGCCCCAAGACAGGTTGAAAAAGGAGGGGGCAACGGGGACTGTTAAGGCTTCAGGATCTTAGCAACAAGCACCACCGACATGGCTGTGGCTCAAAAAGAAGAGTACCACAATGGAACCGTGGACCAAAACCTGCTTAACCCCTCCTATTTAATTTTGAGCCACACCCACATGCGAAGCTTGCGCGAACGCATCCAGCTTCGCGCCGCCGTTTTGTTTTTTTCTCCACGAGCGCTGGCTTTCGGCAGGCCCCTGAACGCAAGCAGCTCGCAGCCAAAGTTGCATTTGCTCCGGGCGCACAACACCAGATAGCTGCCAGTCATGGCTCCTGAAAGCACAGTGACGAAAAGAAGTCACCTAAAACCGTGGAACAATTCATCAACGTCCCTTAACCGGACATCTTAAGTTGTTCATACACGGTTGTTTTGCAGACTGCACTGCAGTCCAACGTGCGCTTGTTCCACCATGTTCTCGTTGCAGAACTTGGTGAAACACGCGCGCGGAGATAACGGCGACAGCAACAACAAAACAGCAAGAACAGCAGCGGGCGCTTGCGTGATTGTCGCAGCCAAGCAGAAGCCCCCTTCAAGAACATTCACTATCAGTTCATAGCAGCATGTTGGATCAACAATGTTGCATGTTGTCCCATCCCCCTGATACACGCAAGCATGATGGAACTGATCGTTTAACGTTCACCTCAAGCATGATGTGCTTTGGACGTCTGACAAAGCAGATCCGTTATACGAGTTGCAGCTGAAGTCGCGTCCTGTATCGCTCAAACGCCATGCCAGGAAGCGGCGGC